AAAAAGCAAAGTATCAGCAGTGTGAGGTTTAGAATGACCCAAGGCAGACAAAGAATGCCAAGATTTTTTTAGAAAGGGTTTGTTTGGTTTTTTTTAACTATGATGGGAGGAATAGGAAGATTAGGGCTAATGTGACAATAATGGATGAAGAGAGAAGAATGAACCATTTAATTCTAATTTTTTTTTTCTACAAAGGAGAATACTCTTTTGGTAGCAAAGGATAAAATGCTTAGCAGGAGAGTAGAATCCCCCAGACCAGCGATGATACATAGGAGAGCACCTCAATGAACTCAGAAACGTCCCAGGGACGTGCTTTAGGCCAGCTGAAAACTGGCTGCTGTGACTGCGAGATGTTCAGTGACCTCTGAAAAATTGAATGGGTAAAACGTCAGGATAGGATGTGGACAAATATCCCACTCTTCATAAAAGGATAGTGTTTCCAGACTTTAGACTGGATTGTGAACTTGATTTTGATTGTTAGCAAAACTCGAGGATGTATTATCAAAAAGATTTCTAAAATTTAAAAGGGGAGGCAGTGCAAGAAAGGAAAGAAAGAAGGGAACGTTTATTAAGTGTCTGCTATGTGCCAGGCATCGTGCTAAGTGCTTTACAAATATCTTATTTGATCCTCACAACCATGGAGGCGCTATTACTTCCATTTTAAAGTTGGAGAAACCAAGGCAGGCAGAGGTTAAGTGACCTGTGCAGGGTCACACAGTAATTGTCTGAGGCTGAATTTAAGGAGTGTCTATTTCTGAACTTTCTTCTATATTTTCCTCTGTATATAAGTGTTTCATTATCTTTTTTTTCCTCTACCATAATGATTACAATCCCTTTCCCCACATAATTCTTCCCTGTCCCAAACAAAGCAAACTAAATGCATTCTCTATTGGGGGTGGGGCATTAGTAATATTGATTATGCAAAAAGGAAAGAACATCAATGAAATACTAAAATACAGAGGGCTCAAAACACTCAAATGTACAAAGTACAGAATGCGGAAGGTATGACTGAAGTGTTCATACAAAAAAATATCTTCAGGTTTCAGTAGTCTACAAGCTCTGCACGATTCAATAGTATGTAAAGCTGCTGCTTTAATTTTTAAAAAGCCAGATTTTTAAAAAGTATAGTACATCACCTGTCAGATTAGCTAAGCTGGCTAGAAAGGAAAATGACAAATTCTGGAGGGGATGTGGACAAGTAAGGACACTAATGCACCGCTGGAGAAGCTGTGATCTAGTCTAACCACTCTGGACAGCAATTTGGAACTGTGCCCAAAAAGCTTTAAAAACTATGCAGACTCTTTGACGTGGCAATACCACTCCTGGGTCTGCATCCCAAAGAGATCAAAGAAAAGGGGAAAGGACCTGTATGTACAAAAGTATGTATAATAGCTACATTTATGGTGAAGATTTACAAACTGAGGGGATGTCCATCAAGAACAAGTTATGGTATACGAATGTTAGAATTCTATGGTGCTATAAGAAACGATGAGAAGAACGGTTTCAGAAAAACCTGGGAACATTTATATGAACTGAAGCAAAGTGAAGTGAGCAGAACCAGGAGAACAATATACACAGCACAGTAATACTATAAAGAGAATAAGCTGTGAAATCCTTAGTAACTCTGATAAATACAATGACCAGCAGCAAATCCAAAGGACTCATGATTAAACCTGCTACCCAACTCCAAAGAGAGCTAGCTAATGGACTCAGCATGTAGACTGAAGCCTATTCTTTCCCCTCTTTTTCTTTTTTGGACATGGTTAATGTGAGAATTTGTTTTATGTGACTACATATATTTGTAAGGGGTTTTGTTTTTCTTGCCTTCTCAATGCATAAGAGATGGGGAGAAAGGTGGGAGAGAATTTGAAATTGAAAATACAACTGAATTTTAAAAAAAGGAAGAGATTAGATGCACAATGCTTGCAAGGAAGGTCACAGTCCCACTGTTCGAGTTCCAGGTGACATATTTTAGGACTTGTAACAGTGATGAAATGAAGCAGATCCGGGAGGACAGTGAGAAGACAGGAGACTATGCTATACAAGCATCAGCTGAAGAAACTATGGATGTTCACTCTGGCGTATAGAAAATTTAGAGGAGTCAAGTAGATATTGTTGTGACTGACTCCTCATGACCCCATTTGGGGTTTTCATGGCAGAGATACTGAAGTGGTTTGCCATTTCCTTCTCCAGCTCATTTTACAAGTGAAAAAACTGAGGAAAACAGGGTTAAGTGACTTGTCCAAGGTCACACAGCTAGTAAATTTCTGAGGCCACATTTGAACTCATCTCTTCCTGACTCAAGGCCTGGAGCTCTATTCATCAGCAATCTAGCTGCCCCCATCAAGAAGATAAAGGGCTTTCAAATGGAAAAGTAAAAGTGGTATTACTTCCAGATAGGCAGATTCCAGTTCCAAGAATGGGGGGAAAACACTTAATGCTATCCAAAATGGAATGGAGTTCCTTGAGAAGTAGGTGAATTCCTCTTACTGGAGGTCTTTGAGCAGAAGCTAGCTTCTGCTCGAAGACCACTTGTTGAAACTATTTTAAAAGGGACTCCTGTTCAGTCGTGTGTTGGAGTAGATGACTTGGACAGCAGCGTGATACAAGGGAATGAGCACTGGATTTGGAGTCAGAGGACATAGGTTTAAACATGCTGGTCATGTGACTTATTCCCTGTGACCTTGGGCAGTGACTTCGCCTCTGGCGGCTGTAGTTTTCTCATCTGTACAATGAGGGAGTTGAGACTATCTGGCCTCTGAGGTCCCTTCCAACTCAGATTGTGTGAAATGCTGGACACTCTTTTGGAAGTGATTCCTCAGGAACAACTTGAAATAATAAACTGGGGGAAAGAGATAGATTTCCTCAAATTACACAGGCTATTTCACATTTTAAGATTCTTGAAAATGAATCAAGATGCACACATTTTATTATTTTTGTACCTAATGGGTTAACAAGTAAAAAGCAAAAGCCAGATCTGCCAGTTGGAATCTGTGGAGGACCCTGAGGCTGACACAGCTTGCCTATCATTTGTGCTGACCTCAGCCTGTTATCTCTGCTGTAAATCACATCCAAGTGGCCTTCCAATTCAAGAATGTGAACAGCTTTCTAAACTAGGATAATCAAACAAATGATTGTCCTGGCTCTTTTCTTCCTCTCAATATGAAAACATATTCTCATTATTTCTGATTCAAATTCATTAAAAGCTTCATCAATCCTTCTTTTTAGAGATTTTAGGTAATTGTACGGGAACCTCATCTTGCTACAGAAACCTTAATCAATTATTTTGGACTCATACTTGGAGATGATGATAAGATTTTTTTGTTGGGAATCTAACAGCCTGACCAGAAATTAAGCTATTTTTTAAAAAATGTTACTAGCTTGTCTTCACTTGCAAATACTCTCCTCTCACTCTTCTTAACTCATGCCATTTTTTTCCTACAATCTTACATTCTGGATACACCCTTCTAGATAGAATTACATAATTAGAGTCCTTCCTTCTTGTCCACCTACAACACATAGTCCTCATTTATCATTCCTAAGAGACACTGACTTTTCTCATTCCCCTTCTCTTCCATCAACATAGGCCTTCAACCACTGAACCCATACTGTCAAGAGCTAGAGTCGCTATTCAAAGTGTACACAAATTAACAAGAGCAATAATACCACAGGTCCTGGTAGTAGTAACAGCTGAGATCTCGCTCCCCACGTAATTATTCCCATAAATATTAAGTGCCTACTTACTATATGTAAGGCATTATAAATTCACCTGCCAGGTTTCATACTTCCTGGGGAAGGCTAATCTCAGTATTTAAGTACTGCGCAACAAGATGCAAAATCTTACAAAAACTATTGTGAAATCTCTTGATAGTCTGGAATTCAAACGATACTTAAGAAACTCTCTATCTTGACTGGGCAAAAATATGGGGAAACGAAAATACAAGGGTTAGATTATTTTTCCCCCAGCTATCCTGCTCTTGTATTTTAATCTATCATCTATAATATGCTATTTTAGTAAGATCGATATATAGATTGTGTTACCTAACTTGCTGTGTGACCTAAAGCAAGTCACAGCAGCTCTCTGGCTTTAGTTTTCTAATCTGTAAACCATAAGGATTGAACCAGATGAGCTCTAAGGCCCCTTACAGCTTGTAATGTTCTATGACTCTATGGATGGAAAACATATGCTGTTTAACACATCTCAGTAACTTTAAAAGCCCTGTGGCTGATGGCCAAATTGCTGTTCCAGTGCCTCCAGAATCAATCACAAATGCCACTGAGAATGTGGGTATTTTGCCCAATTCAATATGCCCCAAGCTAAATCCCAGATTCCAGAGTGTGGCACCTACTTTCTGGAAACCCTCTAAAGAAACTTGATGACTGTCAGCAAATTTATCCTTAAGCCAAGTGGTTCCTCTAGCAAAGCCACTTACCACATTTACGATGTCACTTACAAAACAGGTAAGGAAGGAGAAATGGGCAATGGAAAGTACCAGATTTCCCCTAAACAAAGGCAATACTTTGTTCAGTTCAAGACTGGAGTCCTAATCTATTCTGCCAGATGCTAGTGTTTGTTTGCTATGCACACACTGGTGGTAGAAGAGGGCACTTTAAACTAAAGTGTTAACTGTTCTTTTAGGCTGAATGGTACAAACCAAGGCTGCCCAAAAGATATATCCTGTGCAGAATACTTTAACGTAGCAGCTAAAAAGGAAACTTCTAGATTCAAATACCAACAATAATTATAAAATTCAAAGGGCTGGCAACTACTTCACTAAGATTGTTTCCAGTTCTTTCATACTCCTTCCTCCCCACCTCCTTGTCCAGCCCACCTGTGATTACTCTGGGAAGCCCCAAAGGAGCCCTACCTGCTCTCATGAAGCCTACACTCCACCCAGGTAGGCATATAGAGCTGGTAACTGATTTAGACAATTGGGAGTGCCAGGGAATCTTAGAAAAACCACAACACTATGACTGACAAATTTTTCACTGAAACGTCACCAGATTGGGCTTAGAATGTAGCAGGTGCTCAAACAATAATTCAGGTAATTATAAATATCAACAATTTACAAAAGAAAGGCCTTTAATCCAAAGTAGACCTCAAATTTCTAGTTCCAAGCCCACATCCCAGTATTCTTCTCAAAGTGGACAAACTCTAATTTTATTCAACTTATTCCAAAATAGACCTAGACCCAAAAAGAAGCACAGATGGGTTTGTGGCATAATCATCCTCTCTGACAGGTGGCCATGCTTCTCCTTATTTCCCTGAGTTTGAGACAGCAAGAGCTCACCATCAGATCTTCAAAAGCAGCAATTATGGGTAAAATAATCAGTAAATTAACTTGGTCTCTACTCCTGTTCTAGGGCCTATCATGGTCCCTTTAGGGTAGAATCTATCACCTTCTTTTACAATTGCCCCACTTCTGGATAGTGCTGCTGTAACAGACAATAATAACAACAGTTTTAATGATTCACTTTCCAATATGATACAAAAAAAGAAGAAGCAACTTACTATCTAGCCTCAAACTGAAGTAGGATAGATGACATGATCAAAGCGGTGGATGGGTTAGACTGGAGTGGGGGAAAACACTTTCATAACTTAAAAGTACTTCCAGATCCCTTCCCTCTTATACAAACTTTTTGTTAGATGAGTATGATCCCGTAAAACAATATTCACAGATACAAGAAATGTCTGTACCAAGCTCTCCTGATAGACACTAACCTACTCAGCCACAGAAAACAGCAACTTACGCCAAGCAAAAAAAGAGATACTGCTTATTGTCCATTTATGTTAAAATCTGTGTAGTTCACCGAAGTGGACTTAGTAATTGTTCTATAGGTATATGCAAGTCTGTTATACCCCCAAACACAAACACAGAATATTGGGTCAGGCAACTTGGTAGTAAAATAAGACAGTGAGGTGATCTGGGTAGCTTTCTATAGTTTTCTTCAGAACCTTCAAAGTTTCATAATAGGTGTCCTTCTGTCCTGTCTATCTACAATATATAGCCTCCATTGATGCCCCCAAGTTCCTGACCCAGTTGCTCTAACTTTTCCAGGTATTTCATAGAAAAGTCAATGGCTCTGAAGAACATAAAGATTAAAAGAGATACTTATAATGAAGAAAAGAAAGACAGGAGAAAGCTGTAAGACTCAGAAAATTCGCACAATATCAAAGCTCAGTTCGCTTTGTGAAGTCATGGTTACTCATCATAACCACCAGAGGGCGCATGAGTCCTCATTTTTTTTTTTCCTCCAGCCAGGTCAGCAATTCCACCAAGAATATTTCCCCATGGAGAGTCTGGGAAGTCACAAAAAGAGAGAATAAAGGTCCCTGTGTGGGTGGACATATCTGAATGATAGGCCTTATCAGTAGAGACAGTGACGGTAACTTTCTGATTTCTTGTGGAGAAGCTAAGTCAGAATGGCGTTTTTTGAATCCCTGGTGACCCACAAGGGAAAGCTGAGCTCCTTGGGTCCCCAAGAAGGACGTACAACACATTTTACAGCCAAGATGTAGTTCCAGGACGGGCTTCTCTGGGCAGGGCCGAGCATCCCAGTGACAGGGGGTGGGCGAGCACAAGCTCACAGCTCTGTCGTGAGCAAACATTTACGCTGCTTCCTCAAGGCTTCTTCAGCCAGGCCCGGGACAGGGCTGAAAAGACAAGACAAAGAATCTGTGAGGATGAGACATGGCTCGGCAGAGAAGCAGTGATGAGCCCTTCTTTCCCTTCAGGAAAACGGCTTTTAGTGACTTTTACATCATGCGATGCCTTGTTTAGTTGGTACTAAGCATTTGTATACGCATTTGTGGCAATGTTTGCAACATTAAGTACGTTTTCCAGATAATTTAAATCACAAAATTAACTTCAACTGAATTCTGAAGAAAATATTTTCTTGAATGCATTATACACATCCCTGCTTTCTTAACACTAAATATAACTTAAAGTTTTCACAACAACTTAGGGTCACCAACGCAAACATGTCATCATACAAAATCCAATGATTTCCCCAGGGTGACTGAAATGGATTTCAAGATGCTTTTTACAGTTTTAAAGTACATTTCTGTTGTTCAGTTCCTGCTTCTAGTAGTATCCCTGCTCTCACTACTTCGCTGTTGCTAATTTAGTGTGGGCCTGGAAATCACAGCCAAGCTGGTTAGCTATCTGGATAAAGAGTAAAAGAATTACAAAAGCCTCCTAGGACCTCCTTAATAGCTGATGAGTACAGTACTAGAGTTGCATTAGCTCTCTGTTACTGCTATTCAGAAGTCATTTTTGGGTAACTTCCAGATTCCCAGACATGTTCTGGATTACTAATCCTAAAGGTGCTAGACAACACTACGTGATGGTATTTGCTTGATTTTCTAGCCAAGGTCTCAGTTCATTACTGCTATTTCCTTTCACAGTTCTTCCAAGGACTACATCTACAAGAGATGGAGAATTTCTCCTTGCATAGTATCCGTGACGCTCAGTTGAGTCTTTCAGCAGAGTTTTCCAAAGGGACCTATGTGAGCATACAAAATATTTAGGAGAGGCCAGAATTTACTCGTGCTTAGATAGACTGTGAAGGCTATTAACAAAAATAAAGTAAAAGTATTTTTGGTTTCTCTCAATATGGTAATTTCTTGAGGTTTTTTTTTTCTCTGAAAGAACCAAGTCTTGTGCTGACCAAAATTCTCTATACCAGAAGCTACATCTGAGGAGAAAACAGGCACAAAAGAGTCATGATAAGTGGAAAAGCGAAGGCCACCCATTCCTGATATGTCAAAATAGGGTTGGTTAATGTCCCAGCAAAGGCTAAAGAACAAGGGCCTAAAATACAGAAAGCTATTTTAGGTATAGTTCCTATCTATGATAAATAGCTTCAAAGAGTATCAACAGCCAGGACTCAGCCACATCAATCTTATTCAACCTTACAATCTTTCTTTCACTTATGCTCATATGTATTATATACCCCTTTACACACATCCCAGCCCACCAACCCACAACTGAGACTAACCATCTCACTCCCTCCTATAGCCCAACCTGCCAGGGGCAGCAGGAAGATAGACCAGCGATACCTGCTGCCATTGAGGGGAGCCACAGACTTACCCCTTCCCCTTGGCTCCACTGCCCAGTTCCAAACAGGTATAATATGTCCACTATCAGCTGAACACCGATCCTTAGATTCCCCACCTCTGCTGGAGATAACTCAGAGCCTCATACCACTATAACCCCAGAGCCTGACATCCTCATGGGAGGGGACCATTTGCCCTGCCATTACTCCCCAAATCCTCTGGGACTTGCCATTTGTTCTGCTGCTTTCCTGGTCTAAGTACTACCCAGCCTTTCTATCCATCATGAACTGAACATAAACATGAACTCTTCTTTACATGTTATCTCCTCCAATTAGAATGTGAAGTCCTTGAGAGTGGGAATGTCTTGGTTTTCCTATATGGATCCCCAACACTTAGCACACTTAGTGTGCTCGGCACACAGTAAGTGCTTTATTAATGTTTTTTATTCCATCTAGCAGTTTCAATAGCTGTATATAAAAACTGCAAATAAGTCAAGGCACCCTAATCAAGTTTAAGATTTCTTCATAAAGTCATAAAAAACTATCGACTTAGCACCTGCCATAGAAAGAAGTAAACAGCTAAAGAATAAATGGAGAGGAATCATATCCAGTTATACTCCATTGCACTCCCACTCTGAATAGTCGTCTATGAAGGACAATAAGAAAAGATCTCACGTGGTCACAGCATCCACGAGGAAGGGCCCTGGCTGAGCGATCAAGGAGAGCACCTCTGGGTCACCACATTCCTCTTTTCTTTCCACAGGCACTTCATTCCCTGAGATCCCATTGGAAAGAGTCCTGGTCTGCTGTAGGAAGACAAAACAAACCAAAAAATTGGCATCAAAATGACCACAGCAAACAAGTACTACCCTACATGGTTGTCAATCACAGCCAAAGTTATCCTTGAGGAAAGAGTGGAAGGGGATGATAACAAGGTGAAAACATGAAAGATATTTTGAGAATAATTTTGGCTATAGGGCAAGGTCCCTTAAAGGATAATACTCAACTACCTTGAATTCTGCATTCTCATCTACTACTTCAGAGGTTTTTGTAGATTCCTCCCAGCACTTCTGAGTATTTAAAGCACACAGAAATGTTAAAAAAAAAAAAAACAACAACAAAAACCCAGGACACCTAAGTCATTATGATCACAATGCTCAAGATTCTTAGGTAATTCTAAGCTTATCTATCCCATATCACAAGTATTAATAACTCACTGGCACAATCCAGCGGGGTGTAACCGAGGATAAGGAAGACACCTAAAAGAATAGAAGGAAAACATTTTTTTTACTAAGGCACTAAAATCTTTCTCTAGTATCAAATGAAGAATAGAATAAGAAAAAATCTTTAAAGTTAATAAGTTTTTAAGGAAATGTTCCAAGGACAGAATGAAACCCAAGATCCCTTCCTATGACAAATAACACACATTGCATGGGACACAGTTAGGGATGGAGCAGTTCCTGGTCAGTAAAAAGTAGCACAGGCTTTCTACTAACCTAAAGAGACAATAACCTATTAACCAGGAAGTTTTCCCTGGTATACAGCATATTTTCTCTTCTATAATTTTAGCCTATTGTAACTAATTATAATCTCCCTGGTAGAAGCCAGAAGAAGGACCTATGATAAACACATGTAAACAGAGCAAGGGGAATAGAAGAGAAAGCCCCTGTTTGTATGGATGATTTTCTAATTATCAATCACAGCTAAGGAAAACAATAAAGATGCTAAATATGGTTTATTCCAGTTTCAAACAAGTCTTCCTGTGTTTGAATTAGTGTATGCCATTTCTCTTTAATGCCATTTCAATCTAGTTCTAAAACTGATGTCCATTGCATTCTCTGGCACTGGTAAACACTAAATACTTGAGCTGCCCTTCAGTTCTCTAAGTCAAGATACAATTTATTTATAGAGATTCCACTATTCCCCACCGGGATCATTCATTCCAGTCAAACAATTCTACTTACCACTAGCAAGCAGGTTTTTCTTTCCATACCTTTATAAACCAAGCCATTTTCCTCCTCAAAGTTCCTTCCTCCCTCCTTCTATAAATCTGACTCTTTCTTCAAGACCTCGCTCAAATCCTACCTCATTCATGAAGTTTCTTCTGATCATCTACATAGGATCTCTCCTTCCTCTGAATTCATTTGTTCTGCATTTACTGTATATACTGCAGTATATGGTACTGGGGAGGACACAAGGTAGAAATATCATATTATAAAATACAGACCCTGTTGTCATTTAGGAGCTTGCAACCTAACAGGGTAGAAAAAGTGAGCATATGAAGTATAATAATAAAGATAGTAAATGATAAACTGTACAAGATGTGTGATTTAAATAATGTGCTAAAAGAGCTCAAAAATGGGGAGAAATCACATCTGGCTCAGTTGTTGCAGGCTGACAGAAAAACTTTTCTTTCTATTTCAGTGGTGAAGATGATATGATGCTCTTCCTTTATGAAGTAGCCATCTATAAGCAGGTATTCCACATATTCTTTTTATTAATGGTGGGGTGTTTTTGGACTGAACCTCACTGCCTAATTTACTTTTTTAATCATAGGACTTCTCAGATTTGGGGGTGGGCAGAGAAGGCAATCTTGGAAATAAGTACTGAATTGAAAAGAGGACAACAGATGTTATTCACTTTCACTGTTAGAAGGTTTGTCTTCTAGTGACCAAATCCATGGGTCAATTCTCATTTCTCATCCTTGACCTCCCTCTCTCTGCTGCGTTGGACACTGCTGACCTTCGTTTAAACTTTTTCTCTTGGATTCTATCACACTAGTTTCCTGATTCTCCTCCTAACATTTTTGTTTTTTTGGTTTGTTCTTCTTTCTACCTCCCAAATAAAGATATTTTTCCCTAAGGGCATTCTTTTTAGCCTTCTTTTCTCTAGATAGTCACGGCTGGTTCCCAAATCTTCATCTCTGTCCTTGACCTTTCTTTTACTTCCAGGTTGCATTTTCATCTGCTTGTTTACATAGCTCCACTTGGATGTTCAGCTGTCATTTTAGAGTCAACATAACCCAAAACCTCATCTTCCCTTGAAAAATCTGATCCTCCTGCTAATTTACTTATTTATATTAACAATATAATCTTTCCCATCACTCAAGTTCAGAACATAAGACTTGACATCCTTAACTACAAATTCTTCCTTATCCAAATCATCTATTCCCAATTATAAAGTTTTCCCTTACACAAAGCCCATATTTGTCTCTCTGAAATATCCACCCACTGCTCCTTACTCTTTCCTCTTAGGAACAAAAAGAACAAATCTAATTCCACGCCACAAGCAAGTCCTTCGAGTAATGGAGGACCACTCTCATGTCCCTTCTACTCCCTACATGTCTTTTCTTGGTGACACTGAACACATTCAGTTCCTCCAACTGATCCTTAAGGTCCCTCAGCCCTACTCTGTGCAATATCCTTTCTAAAATGAGGCTCTCTTCCTTACTATCACATTCATCACCATGGGTGAGGTTCCCTTCAGCTCTCACCTGGACTACTGCAATAGACTTCTAATATTATTGGTCACCCTGACTGCATCTTTTCCTTATTCCACTCTAACCCACATGCTGCTGCCAGATTAAATTATGCACAGCTGTGATCCTGTCATCTGCCCCACTCAACAGATATGCAAAAAACCATAAATGGTTCACCTCTGTCTACTGAATAAAGTCTTAGCCCAGCTTTCAAGACCTTTCATATTCCAGACCCAACCTCTCCATCTGTCCTTATTTTTCTGTTTTTCCCTTCATTCTGTGCTCCAACCAGAACAAATTACTGGAAGTACCTTCAACCTTCCCATCCCTGTGCCTTTTCTTAAGCATTTCTTCCAATTGAAATGCCTTTGATTCCCCAATACTGCTTTTTTCCCCCAACTAAAAATGTTTTTCTCAATTATCAAGTATTTTTCTCTCTCTCTTTCACACCTTCCATATACCACACAGGGCGAAGAGGGGGTGGGGTGGAATCCTTACAACAAATATGCATAGTAAAGCAAAACAAACCCCACATAGGTCATGTTCAAAAATGTGTATCTCATTCTGAATATCTGTTGTTTTTCGATCACTTCAGTCATGTCTGACTCTTCATGACCCCATTTGGGACTTTCTTGACAAAGATACAGGAGTGGTTTGCTATTTTCTTCTGCAACTCATTTTACAGATGAGGAACTGAGGCAAACAGGGCTAACTGACTTGCCCAGAGTCACACATCATATAAGTATCTGGGGCCAGATATGAACTCACAAAAATGAGTCTTTCTGACTTCAGGCCCAGCAGTCTATCCACTGCACCACTTAGCTACCTAATATTTAGTTGTATCATTCTGAAATTTTAGTCTATCCCTTCTCTGTCAGGAGGGGTTAGCATTCTTCATCATTGGGCCTCTGGAATGTCGATTGATCACTGTAGTGATCACAGTTTTTAAAGACTTTCAAAATTGTGCATTTTTGCAATGTTGCTAAAGTATAAATTGTTCTCCTGGTTTGGCTCTTCCTGGCACTGTTCAATTTTTTCTAATCCATAAAACCTTACCTAATTCTCCTAACCAGTTGGAACCTCTCTCCTCTAAACACCCAGTGAAAGTGACACTTTGACATTCTTTTTATTCTAGTTGTTTACAATTGTATTTCTCCTTGCTAGACTGTAAGCTCCATTAGGACAAGAATCACATCTTATACTTTTTAGTAGCCAGTATAGTGTCCTACAAATAGTAGGTAACCAATAAAAATGTATAGCATTGGCCTGACATTTTGGGTTACCTGTACTGGATCTATACTGATCCATATCTACTACATTAGAAATGACAAAATTTATATACACATTTATTTTTAAATTTTATATCAAATGGTATCATTCTTTTGTCCACATCAGATCCCATGTCATTCCTTTAGGAAGATGGGATTATTACTAGTAACTTATGAGATGACTTAATTGAAATTGTTCCCTAATTAAGAGGAAAAATTTCCTAAGAAATACGGCTGTCCAAAAATGGAATGGGCTGCCATGGAAGGTAATGGGTACCCTTTCCGTGAAGGTCTTCAAGAAGAGACTTTTCACTTGCTAGGGCTGTCATAGAATTCTGTTCAGGCGTGAGTTGACATAACTTTCTAACTCTGTGATTTGGCTTGGTCTAATAGCCATGTGAACATCTCAGAGGCACCTTTACCTTGACCTGTCAACATTAGATCTGATTTTCGCAGCACTTACTATTGATGATAAAAACATCTTACATTTATATAAAGTTTAATCTCATGACTACTCTGTGAGATAGTCCTATTAGTATATTAGTCTTATATTACATGTTATAAAACTAAGTTTCTAAGAGGTTAAATGACTTGTTCATAGCCATATGATTAGTAAATGGCAGTCCAACTTGAACTACAAGCACAGTATTCTTTCTACTCTTTCATGAGTCAGTAAAATTCATTTTGTACTCCAACTCATTACATGTAGCTCTAGGAAGTCTTCTGTTTGCCTTATTTTCTCATCTAGAGCATGAGATACTGGAGGACAGAGTCCATATCCTACATTTTTCTGTATTGTCTATAGCACTCTTACAGAGATACTCAGACACAATAGTAGGAACTCAAAAAAATTTGACTGACTGGCTAGATATTTTTTTTCTGGGAAATAGCTAACAAGAAGAAAGCTAGCATTATTCATTAAATAGACCCCCCCCTTTCCCCACTTTTTGTATGATTTTTGTGAACCACAGTTACCGGAGGTACAGCAGCTAAATCAATCAGATTCTCTGTTAATGATGAGAGCAGGGCATCCAACTCATCAGTGGCGCTCTATGGAAGACAAAATAAATATTACAAACAAACTTACTTCCTAATTTCCCCCTAAATTTCTTATTCCAACCCAGGCCGATTTGGGTTAATCCTATTAAGGAAATATGAATGTTCTTAATTTATGCTGGTTTGTTTTTTTTTTTAGGAGGGGGAAAGGTACTTTTGTTACACTTGGAAAGTAGGGGAAGTCCACACCTAGAACTTAGACAAGATGATATATAATTTTTATTAACTTCTCAAACCAGCTCTTGTGACTTGGAATACTATGCTTATTGTTTCACCCCTTGGACACTAGGGCACAGCAATCAGGATAGGAAGCAGTGAGTCAGAAAAGATTCCTAAAAACCTCTGGATCAAAACTACAATGTGAACTCTACTGTCCAATCACACTGGATATTTATTCCATGCATCCTCATGATCCCTCTTTCTTTACATACCCACAGAGGAGACAACACCTTATTGGAAACTATAGAATTAAGATTCTGATCAAGAAAAGACACAGAAGTCCAAATCTAAAGATGTAAGAACCAAAATTTGGGAGTAGAGGACTTGCCACGAAAAGTTTTTAAAATTTTCCAACTTCTCTGTTCCAGAAAGCCTTGGGAACAGTTTACTGATTTCTTTGACTCTTCCTTTTGTTTTATTTTTTTTTTGGGTGGGGTGGGGTGGGGTGAGGCAGTTGGGGTTAAGTGTCTTGCCCAGAATCACACAGCTAGTCAGTGTTAGGTGTCTGAGGCCAAATTTGAACTCAGGTCCTCCTGACTCCAGGGCCATTGCTCTATCCACTGCACCTAGCTGCCCCCTTTTGTTTTATTTCTTAACTGGCATAATAGAAGTCTCCTCATAGAAGGCTATGTTCACTGAGCTTTTCTGTGTTAGCTCAATTTTTGAATATAAACCCAGAAACCATAGCAACAAACCACCTACTATCAACCATTTTAAAATTAAATTTGATTGTAGAATGATTTGGGTAATTCAGAATCCACTCCCGTTTCTAATTTGTTTATGTAATTTTGGTAGGAATGTTGTAGAAGAACAAAGGATAAATGCAGAAACTAGAATGTGTTAAGTTATATGTAGAACCCAACTGATTACAGCACCAGCAAGTCAAAATACTACTAGAAGCATGGGATCATATCATTACTGGAATCCTTATTATAATGGAAACCAGAAGATAAAAAGAAGTTGCATTTAAATGGAAGAATTAATTAACAAATATTTATTAAGCACCTACTACATGCTAAGCACCATGTTAGATATTGGGGATACAGACAAAAATGAAACAGTATCATCCTCAAAGAGCTCACATTCTATTGGTATAAGCAAATGTGGTTTTACACACACATACACACACACATGCACAAGCACACAACAAATGCTTGTTCACTGATACAAAATAAATACAAGGAACTTGGGGAGGGGGGCCCACAAACAGCTGGGGCCAGGAATCAGATAAGACCTCACATAGGAGGTGACATGAGCCAAGTTTTGAGGGAAATTAGATTCTAAGCAGTGGAAATGAGGAGAGAATGCATTTCATTTTGAAAACAAAGTTTTGGGACTTTATATCAGTAAAGCATTTTACAATTATTAATTGTCACAGTCCTGGGCGCAGCTCCTACTCCCTCCACATAGATGATAAATATGACACCCCAGGCTATAGACCAAGTTCAGTTTTAAGTACCTTCTTTATCATCTTCACCAAACAGGAAAGCTCCAGCTACTTTTTAGTCACTTCATTAATAACTCCACCCCTCCAATCCATCTTTCATACTATCAGAGAATAACTTGCTTGTGTTCTTATGTACACACCTAATCTTGGCACTCTTCAAAAATCTTCAGTAGTTCCAAATTTCCTACAGAGTTCAAATTCCTCTTTCTGGCTTTCTTTCCTCTCCCTGGCAATCTGATGCCTTCTACCTTTATAACCTAACTTCACGCAATTCCCAGATAATTCTCCTTTCAGTTCTAATCTATGATCCTACAATCCTTGTCAAGCAGAGAGATATGCAAGGCAAGGACAACATCAATTTAGAATATAAACTCATTCATAAAATCACGTAGAAGAGAATGAAGCTCCTTGAAGGCAAGAACTATTGTTTTTGTATCCCCAGCGCTGGCACATGGGAGGCACTTCAATGTTTATTTGAACAAATTAATGAATAAATAAATGAGTGATTGGAGATTACGAGAAATACTGCCTCATGAAACAGCAAGAAGCAGTGGGAAAAAACAGTTTACAGAAGGTCTGACAAGAAATCAAGTTAAATCAGATGATCCTGGGAGCACTTAAGAATGAAACTGGAAGGAAACAGATAACATATAGAAAAGTACTGAAGTACTGTTTCTATACCAAACTATTTTATCCATCAGTGAAAGTGGAACCATTATATTTCATCTTATTTATAAATAAGCACCGTCCCTAGTGTGCTGCATAAATAAGCAGAAAGAGCAGTAAAATAAACAAAAGCCATGTAAGTCACTGGGTCAGACCACGTACACCCATCAGTATGTTCTCGGAGCCCTCTTTTGGAGTCTGTAAGTCAAAGTTGGATGACTACTTGCTTAGCATGATACAGAGAGGATATGAGACACAGGTTGCACTAGATGATCTGTGATTCCTTCCAATTCTGTAGCTCTTGGCATCTGAGATCTATCAGGGAGATATTTTAAACTATTAAATTATTCTATAAAACCTTGAATAAAATAATTTGCACACATATTCCTTAAAGATTCTTTAAAGTAAACATGAAAAAGAAACAGATAGGGTTATATAAATGATATTCTATGGCAGATATTTTTACAGTCACACAATTGGCTGAGAGGGGCAGAGAATACAACATCCCACTAGGTGATACAAGTGGATAGAGCTCTGGCCTTGGAGTCAGGAGGACCTGAGTTCAAATCCAGCCTCAGACACTTAACACTTACTACCCGTGTGATCCTGGACAAGTCACTTAACGCCGACCATCTCACCAAAAAGAAAAAAAAAGCATTTGATTCAGAGAAAGAATGCCATATTAAAACATCTCTCTTCCAGCAAAGTGTTTTCCTCACATGTTAAAATCACACAAGATTCCCTGAAAGCCAAAATCCAAAACTTTTTTTGATGACCCTCTAACTATTAATATTAAGTAAAACACAAAAACAGGGAAAACTACGGTTGTCAAAGGTATTTTCCATTGTCATGAATGATATCCAGCACAGAATCCTAACGGAAAAGATAGTGAGGTCCACTAATGTTCCTATTTACAGATGACATATTGATTGCACCATGCCTTAGACACTGAGAAACTTCCTAAGTGAAATCAATAATCACTTAAAAGAGTTTGCCTAACTATCTACATGGGAACAAAAAAAAAAAGTTGAAGAATTCCTATGATCCATAGTCTGATATGCTGTTGGAAATGTATGGATGCATGTATGTCATCAAACTACCGCCTAAGGGCCAAATCCAGCCCTCTCTGCCTTTCTCTGTGTTTAACATTATTGTAAAAAACATTTTTAGCTCCAGCTATACAAAAACACGCAGAAGGCAGAAGGAGATCCAGTGACCAAAAACTCAAAGAGGAAAACTGAAGAAACTACTAGGAGAGAAGGACTCTGGGGAATCTACAAACAATATACTACCTGAAAAATACTGTAAGTGGTTATACAGATGATCAGAAGTATTCTGTATAAATTAGAGTTCTAAGGTAAATAAAGATTTAATAAAAATCTTTGAAATTTTACCTTAGTGATTCAATTTTATATCCCAGGTTTTGGAGAACCTGAGAAGACAAAGAGTCAGTATGGCTTAGAGCAGGGGTTCTTAACCTTTTTTTTGGTCATGGACCCCTTCAGAAGCCTGGTAAACAATGTTTTAAATTTACAAATGAAATCAATTATGTTAAAATATCAATATATTAAAAAGAATGGCTGACTCTTAGTGACCCCATTTCTCAGCAAAGATATTGCAGTGGTTTGCTATTTCCTTCTTCAGCTCATTTTACAGATGAGGAAACTGAGGCAAACACAGTTAAGTGACTTGCCCAGAGTCACACAGCTAGCAAGTGTCTGAGGCCAGATTTGAACTCATGAAGATGAGTCTTTGTGACTGTAGGCCCAGCACTCTATCTTCTATGCTAACTAGCTGCACATTAAAAAGAAACAAATTCTCAAATATCAGGTTAAAATATCTTGGCATAACAGGAACTACACTGGTCTGAAAGTCCTAAGATTGACACTTTACCTTTGCAGTAAAATCAACTAATCTCTCTGAGCTTCCGTTTGCACATCTGCCACAGGAGAGGCTCTCGATGACCTGAAGTTCCCTTCCAGCTTTAAAACATAAGGTAAGAAAGTTTTCTTACCTTTAGAACAGAGTTATCTTCCACAGCATTTGGATGTGTGGGAATCATTGTGTTTTCTGGACTGAGAACTTTGTTATCTTCTTTTAACACACTGTTGGGAAAGAAAAAAGAAATGTCTTTACTGTGCCACAAAGGTCCCATGAAGTCAAGAGCAGTGTCCTAAAGTGCTTTATTCATGAAGTATAACAGAAGTCAATGGTGCAGTAGAAGGGTGGTTAAATAGACTGGACTCAGTTTGTACAAAAGGCAACCCTCCTCCCACTGTTACTGCAGTGGGAGGACCTGTGGGTCCTAGTCCAGTTAGCTGTGCTCTCGGGAAGCCTGCAGGGGCTACCAATTCCATGAAAATCAGTTGTAAGGGTGATTTAAAGCAATGGATAGTACTAATGAGAGGTCACCAGGATTATCAATGACTGAAGCAGAGTGCCTTATTGACAATTATAACCCTGCCCTGACAGCTAAATTCTACTAGGTACTGGCAGCCTAAACTGGACGTCACACTTGGATGACCACAAACATGTCCCCCCAGCCATCTTCACTTCTCAAGACCCTCTCTATCAGGCTCCATATTTGATTTTCTTCACAATCTTGAAATCAACTTCACTGAGCCCATTCTGGCTTTGCTTCTTTACATTACATTGCATTACAATCCCATGTAATGAAGCTACTGATTTCCTCTAAGCCAAATTAGAAGATTTGAGGGTTTCTGGTGATTTTCAAAAGGAAACCTGGAAATGGCTAAATAAGTTGTAGTATATGACTGTAATGGAATACTATTATGCTATAAAAAATGATGAGCAGGATTATTTCAGAAAAACCTGCAGAGACTTATATGAACTGATGCAGAGTGAAGTGAGCAGAACCAGGAGAACATTATACACAGTAACAGTAATATTGTATGATTGATCAACTGTGAATAAGTTAGCTATTCTCAGCAATACAATGACCCAAGACAATCCCAAAGGTTTCAATGATGAAAGGTGTTATCTGTCTCCAGGGGAAAAAGTGATGGAGTCTGAACGCTGACCAAAGCATACTATTTTCCCCTTTCTTCCTTCCTACAAAATGACTACTATGGAAATACGTTTTACATGATTGCACATGTATAACATACCAGATTTCTTACAACCTCAGGGAGGGGTTGGGGGTAGGAAGGAAAGACTTTAGAACTCAAAATTAAAAAGAAAAAAGAATGTTAAAAATTGTTTTTACACGAAACTGGGGGAAAATAAAATACTGTTAATAAAAAGCAAATAAAAGGAAAAAAAGAAAAAAAAGAAGTAAACCTGGGGTGGTGTAGGACTAATGATCCCACTACTCCTGTGAAGACAAGTACATTCACAGACAAGTTCAAACTGAGCCCAATAAAAATAAATTACGCCCTCTGGGAAGCAATCTGGATGAATAATTTAGAAATAAGGGCAAACTGCAAACAAAGACCAGCATCAAAATCAAAGAAAAGAAAGACTGTGCACCATTAATGAGGAACAACTATATTCCCAGTTCTATTACTAACATACCCTTTTTGTGGCCCCTCAGCATCAGTGACACAATATATCATCTTTATTGTCACCATTAGCTTCTGGGCAGAGAGCTGCTGTTCTTCTGGAAGGACTAAAACCTCACAGCTCTTAACAGTATTCACATTCCTACATATTTGCGGGTTTTAAGAATGTAAATATTTGAACTTTTCCCTACTTGGTTTCTTACTGAAGGGGTCAAGAAGGCCAACACCATGGGTAACCAGCTTTGCCTATCTATAAAGCCAAGGAACCCTCCTTCCTTTTGGCTCCATGGAATTTACCTTGAAGTGTCTTAATACTCTAAAATTAAGTGTGCTGGCATTGAAAGGAGGTTGTGACCAAGTTTGGATAATAACTCACCAGTGTATTAAATAGTGTTGAAGCTCTCTCCTAAAATACTCTTAAGAATTCTACAAACTCTATTATAGTTCAAAAGCTGATACAATAACATTTTACATACATGTTGTTCCATGTCTAAGCAAGAGGAGGTTCTGTTACCATAGTGATGAGCACACCCTCGGGGACACAACTGGGTCAAGGAAGGTCTAGATAGCTCTTGGGTAGATTAAGAAGGACCAAGAGGGTTCAAAAGAGACATGACTGAGGGTATAAGGAAGCATCTGACATTAGAGCTTTCATTTTCATCATATTCAAACTCCCTTGAATTATGGAAGATGAGATTTGGAGTCAGAAGACCTTCTGACTTGGTCAGGCTCTTTCATTTACTACCTGGGTAAACCTTGGGCAAATTTTTTGATTTCTCTCTATCTCAGTTTATCTATAAAAAAAGGAGGTTGGATTAGATCAGGAGTTCATAATCTAGGGTCCATGAACTCATTTTTAAAAAATATATATATTTTGATAACTCTATTTTAATACAATTGGTTTCTATTAGAACATTAAGTATTTCTACTTTATGCATAAAAACATTATTCTGAGAAGGGATCCATAACACAAAAAAGGTGTTTCTGGACTAGGTGGTTTCTAAAAACCTCCAAATCAATTGTGTTATGATACTATTCAGTTCCCCTTGTGTGCAGTACCCGCACATACACACAGGCACTCATATACTCTTGTGCATGTTTGCCTGTTTCAGTCTTCACAAAATAAGCACAAGATGCATAACAGATGCACAGTATCTAACTACAGAGAAAAACATGGTTATAAAGTGATCACAGTATGACAGTCACAACATGCCAAATACACTACATTACTGTACAATAGTTTTACACTACTTTAACCAAAGAAAGCACCAGAAATAAAGCTAGAGACTGGGCAAAAGAACACAACGTGAAAGGGTTATAGCAGACATGTTCTGATAGAAAAAGAAATCAATGACTTTTGTATAGCATCTTAAGATTTGCTAGGTGTTTTACACACATTTTCTCATTTGATTGCACTAGGCAGAGCAGTATTCTACCTTCTCACTAGTCAAAAGCTGTATTCTCTTCCTCTGAGTAGAGACAAGAAGAAAAAATGGCTTAATAGAAAAAACTTGAACTTGGCAGGTCAGAAGACCCAGGTTAAATGTCCACTTTTGCCACTTAGTCTAAGAGAACATGGCATAGAGGAAAGAATGTTGGATCTGAAGGCAGAGAAGCCAGATTCAAAACATGTGACTTCTCCATTCTGGCCTTCAGTTTTCTCATTTGCAGAATGAAGGGACTGATGATGTTTAAGGTCTCTGTCACTTCTAAATCCTAAGACTTTAGCTGGGTCACTTTGGGCAAATCATCTCACTTCTGTAGGTAAAGATTCCTCACAAAAGTGAGAAGATTAGGCATGATCTTCAAGACTCCTTTCAGATCTAACTCTTGGTAAGTGCTTTAATTTCTCATTCAGCCATTTACCCTCAGGATTTTTCCTATTTTGTGATAATGCCTGAAGTTATTTCCTTAAGCCAAAACACAAAAAGGAAGAAGGTATTGTGTTTGGGGACATCTAGAAACACAATGGGACTATATTCCCTTCCTTGACTCTCACCAAAAAGCCCAAAACCAAACTAAGGTAAAAAAAAAAAAGCCACATGAAAACAGCCTATTTGAGAAAGAGAAAAGCACAAAATGAGGTTATTTTAAACTGGCTGTTGAAAATTTATCAGTTCAGGAGATTTTCTGGAACTGCCAAATACAATTCCAATTCCAATTCCACACTGATCAGCCAGTTAATATTACATTTTAAAGCATCTGCAATGTGCAAAGGCCTTTATATAATTTTTTTGCAAATTATTTAAGTGCTATGACAAAAGTGGTTGGAAATAGATGAGGTTAATTAGGAAAAATATTCCTGGAAAAAGCAATTTTTAAGCAAAGTTTTAAATGAAAAGATAAACTCATAAACTGGCCGAGAGACGGGACAATGACATCACAGAAAGGAGAAAAAGCATATTTACAGAAAAAGGAGGCAGGAATAAAATTATGAAAAGAGGACAGAAAAAAGGGTTTACTGGATGCAAGAGAGCTAGTGTTTGAAAGTAATGACAAACAATAGTGATAAGATGGAAAGGGAGCCCTGAAAAACTAAGGTGAAGAATTTAGATTTCATCTAACAGATAGAACAGGAAAATGACAATTAAAATGTTTGAAGAAAATGGAATATCAAGTAGAAAAGATAAAATACAAATGTGAGAAAGCAATAAGGTCTAGTGCAAAAGGGCAGTTAGAAAGACCTGGATTCAAATCCTGTCTCTGACTGCGGGTAGCCATAAGCAAGTCACTTAACCACTCCGTGCCCTCAGAAACTCTCCAAGACTAAAACTACAGCAGCTGCAAATAGCCATTGGTGGAGGTAAGTGCCATGCTGTGAATTTCTTACACAATGAAATCACAAGCTCTCACCTGCATATAGTGTTCCACAGAAGTCATCTTGTTTGAGCCTCACTACAACCTTCTGAAGTACATACCATAGGGAAAATACTATTATTCCCATTTGTAAGTGAAGACATGGAATCTTAGAGAGATTCAGTAGTCTGTGGCTATGGGAATGGACAAGAAGAAGTAGATATTCTAGAGGTACAGTAATTGGCAAGATATGATGATGAATTGGATTTGGGATGCAAAGAAGAATGTATGAGAATTAAAAAGGAAAATGTCAACACAGTCTGTTCAGTCAGAACAATACCTGAAAACATTATCTTGAACATTGGAGTTTTTTTGACTCAATGTATCATCCTCTCTTGTGACCTAAAAAAAAAAAAAGAAAAGAAAAAGAAAAAAGAAAATCATAAGAACTTGGTTGAGGGAGTTTGTCTTAGACCAGTAAGCAAGATAGTATTATTTCTTGGCTGCTGTTTTTTAAAAGGGAAATTAATTATTTCCCAGGTATTAGTATTTAATGTCAAACAATCTCATGTCCAAATGAAGTAACACATAAAGTTGCAGAAAAAAAATCCACTAGCATGTAAATATACCATAGTTTTCCCAAATCTTTGCTCTAAAGTAAAAAACTAAAAACGAGAAAAGAGAAGAAAGTGAAAAGAGAAAAAGAATATGACTGGTTGAATTATTAGTTATGTGGTTAGAGTGAACTATGCAAGCTTTAGAAAATACAAAATGATCCAATCTTAGATTTTAAAGACTTTATAAAGAGATTTTTTAAAAAAACAGCTGTTAAGTAGTACAGCTGCAATTTTAATGTTTTTAGAGGTTATGGTGAAGTTTTGTGCTATCTTTTTTTCTAATCAGATGATGGGTTTCCTATGGGAGACAGAATTTAAATATGGGGAAAAGAAACACTTTGATAGGAAAAGGGGAGATGTCAAGGACATGGCATAAAAAAAAAAACAACTCCAACAGATCTGTGATCTCAATGAGTTGGGAATTCCTTCCAAGGAGACAGATCATGACCAATCCATGTGTGCGACCCATGAGAAAGATACCGCCACTGAAAAAGGAGTAAGGAATGGAAGAATGCTTGGTAGAGCAGCGTGGATAAATGACAACCTAAGGTCAATTTTGATGAGTTATTGATTTCCTCCATGACACAATAACACCACACTGGAAAAGTCTGCCACACTCCAAAGCAATCTAAGAGAGCATTCCTTCTTACCTTATGAACTGCTTCCACTTGAGCCTTTAGGATATTGCTCTTGATGTCTGGGGGAATCCTCAAAGAAGATAATCCAGGACTCTCAATGACATTATTAAGACATTTTTCTGTCAACTTCACAACTTCTTCCTAGAAATTAAGAACAGATGTTAGCATCCCTGACAAAGAATACCTCACTGTAGACAGTCATGCAAGTTAGGTTTTAAGCTCCGGCATGGAAGACACATTAACTAATCAGGCACATTAAGTGGCAATGCCTTTTCTTTTGGTATATTTGACTCCCAGGAGTTCCAAACAATTAATCATGCAAACAAAGATTACCCTGGAGACAAACTTGTTAATTTTTTGCCTTCAAATAGATAGACTAAATCACCCCAAAAAGGTGGTTTTTTTTCCCTTAAGCAGTTAAGGATTCAATGGGATAAGAAGACTAAGAGAAGAGATGTTTGTTAGCCATAGAAAATGAGATTGGACAGAGCAGCACTAGATGCCAGGAGCTCTGCTGAGGAGAGGAGAACTAGCTTGTCTTGAGCCATCCTGTATTGTCTTGGTCCTAGATATCAGGGAGTTTGACTTTATTCCATAAAAGAATTTTAGAATGGTTGGTACATGTCTAGAAATGGATAAAATGATCACTAGGCACTGGCTTTCTTAAGATTGTATCATAGTGGGGCAGCTAGTGGCACAGTGAATAGAGCACCGGCCCTGAAGTCAGGAGGACCTGAACTCAAATCTGACCACAGACCAAACACTTGACACTTACTAGCTATGTGACCCTGGGCAAGTCATTTAACCCCAACTGCCTTGATTTAAAAAAAAAAAAAGAATATATCATGGTATTCCCTAGTCCATAGTAGGAGCTTAATAAATGTTTATTAACTGAATGACTGTAATCTATTATCCAATGATGTGTTCAAGAGAAGAATATGTTAGAAATAATACAGATGGGATTCTTACATTTTGGAAGAGTTCGGACTATATAATCTCTAAATGACCCAGGGCAGCAGTTCTAAAGCTAAAAGGAGTATGAGAAGTCACTTAATCACCCTAAACCTTATTTTCCTCATTTGTAAAACGGAATACAATAGATCACTCATATCTATATGATGCTTTAAGGTTTTCTATGTGTTTTATTCATAATAAATCTGTGTGGGAGAAAAACAAAAACAAAAAAAAGAATATATCATGGTAGACACAAATAGAAAAAGACAGGCCTTGTTCTTGAGGAGCTTATCCTCTAATCGGAGGAAGTGATGCGTGCAGGAAAGTACAGAAAGAGGGAGATGGGAAGAATGAGTGGCCCTGAGGATAGGGCCACAAGCTCAACCTGGATCTAGGAATGTCTGCCCCACAGAAGCAGCCCACAAACCCTAGGAAGGGAGGAGCAGGCCCAAGGGTCAGTGTAGAGGTTTTTGTTTCCCACAGGCAGAAGAGAGGATGAGTCAGTATATGGCCAGGAAGGTAAGAAAGGAAGGTTTGGACTAAGTTCTGGTGCGAGGAAGAAGGGGAAATTGGGTCTTGCTGGATGCTAGTTCCACTTTTTCTTAATTTTACTAGATAGCTCTTCCCTTCTCCATCAACAGCTGCCCAAAATTTCACCCCTTTCTTTAACACAATGAAAGAAATGTGAAGCAGCTCTTCAAGAGCTAAGTGTTTACACAGATTTCCCAAAGAAGGCAACATGTAAAGCATTATGCTAGAGAGAGAGAAGTCCCAAGAAGTTGTAGGCAATGCACAAGTGCACAAAAGTAAAGCTCAAATACCTGTTTGTTCACGTTAATGTTGACATTGGGTTTAGGAGATGATGAGGAACAGTTCTCAATCTCAAGCAGTTTGAGCTTCACAGAGGTATCCTTGAATTCTAGGGAGAAAAAGTGGGCAAGACAACTCCATGAGCATGCCAGGCTGCCACAGCTGTGTGAGGGATTAATTTTAAATTGTTCCTTTCCAGCTTCCAGATATATTCAATTAAAGATAAATTATCCTAATGTCATGAGGTAAATAGATTTTCTTTTCACTTAGAATGTAACTTTCCATTATCTTGATTTTTAAGGGCCAACCATTAGAGTAAGAAAGATGTGGACAAGGATAAGGAGTGACTATAGTCCTCCTCTATATTGTGCTTCAAGGTTTGCAAAATGCTTTACATATGCTTGATCCGCACAAAATTTCTGTGAGGAAGGTACTACAATACCACCCTTTTTCAGATAACAGGCTGAGATTGATTCAAGAAATACTTACTTGTAATGTTACTTGTGAAACAAGGCAGGTAAACTTATCTTTTTGTCCATCTATTATTCATTTACACAATGTTTTAGAGGCCACAATCAATCTTTGGATGGTTGCTTCAAGCAAATCTCCCACCCTCCTGCTACCAAATACACAAAGTCATAATTCTATTAATCTGCGAAATCACAGAATTATGATTTTGTCCACCAGAACGGGACAGCCTGTAGGAGGTCACCTAGTCCAACTTTTCATCTAATGCAAGACTCTCATCACTCTCCAGGTTGCAATCCAATTTCCCCTTTGTATGTAACTTGTTTGTACACAGTTTATATGTTTGCATGTTGCTTTCCCATTACAATGTGAGTTCCCTGAGGGCAGAGACGGGTTTGCCATTCTTTGTATGACCAGTTCTTAGCACGGTACCAGGTACACAGTAAGTGCTTTCATAAATGCCTGTTAACTGACAAAGCAGGCCCTCACAATAAGAAATGGAGACCAGAAGGGGTCAGGATGCGGCCATCTGGTTCTTTGAGTAGTTTCTAAATAACCAAGGATAATGATAGCAGAAGAAGTATCCAAAAAGTGACCAGGTACTATGTTTTCATAATTTCACAGTTGGCTGCTGTCTTTCTCTTGTAAAATAGGGCAATTATTTAAAAAATGGAAAATTTGTTAGTCAAAGTCAATGTTGGCTTCCCTGGCCTTGACTTATTCAAAGTAACCAGGCTGACACAGATGTCCTTTTCACCAGCGATGGAAAGCTTATTCTTAGAGATTGTGGGTGCAATGCATACCTTTAACCCAATCAATCAGTGAAGTGAACTGGCAAAAGTGGTAGACAGTAGGTATGGGGTGGGGGGCAGGGTGGGGCATACATTTTCAGAGATGGCTGTTCATTTCTTTTGCTTAGAAGCATTTATTTGTTACAAAAGAGGATTTTATTGGTGAGGAGAAAAGAAGGACTGAGAAGTAATTTTTTTTTAAAGACCATTAATGAAATTTTTGTCTTAAAAAGTTTCTATGTAGTATGGAAACTAACTCCTCCTTTCAAAGCGACTTCCTGGGAAGCTTTCATGTCATACTAATCTAAAATTTAATGATGCAATCTGAAAAACCTGAAAACATTTAATGATTTTTAGGATTTTCAATGTTGACAAACATAGGAGAGGTTCTTGGAAAACACCAGAATGTCTGGACCAATTAATTCAGAATTCCACTCATAAGACATTAATGTGCCTGTTTTCCCAGCTCCCCTTCAACATTTAGCATTTTTCTTTTTGGTCAACTTTGAGACCTGATGAGTCCTAGCAATTTTGAAAAGTAATTTGGAACTATGCTCAAAAAATTATTCAACTGTGTATACTCTTTGGCTCAGTAATGCCAGTCCTAAGCCTATACCCCAAAGAGATCAAAAAAAGAGGAAAAAACACTTATACAAAAACATTTATGGCAGCTATTTTTTGCAGTAACAAAGAACAGTTACTTACCACTGGACTCAACATTGGCTTCCTTGAGTCCAGGCTCAGTAGCAGCCATACTGATTTCCTCAGGGACCACAGATATTCCCAGGGTTCCAGGCACTCCCTTGGCCTCCTCATCAGCTGTTTCTAACAGCTCTGTGTTGTCTAATAAATCAGTCAGAGGCAAGCTGCAATGATGGCAAGGAGACAGTCTGATGTGCTACAGCTGGGCATATGTCCCCAAAGATCCCATTTAAGCCAAATATTCATAGCAACACTTTCTGTGGTAACAAAGAATTGCAAACTAAGTAGATGCCCACTGAGGGGAGAATGGTTCAACAAACAGTGGCACAGGACTCCAGTGGAATTACTTCAGCATAGTAAACTAGATCTAGTTTAGCATAACTAGCTAGGTTAGCACAAACTAAAAGAATCTAGATAAGCATAAGACTTATATGAAATGATGCAGAATGAAGTAAAGAGTATTATGAAAACAATATTCAGTGTAAACCTTGAATATGACCCCTTCTCTCCCCTTTGATGCTGCCACCACTCTAGTGCAGGCCATCACTTCACATCTGGGTTACTGCAATAGCCTGCTGATAGGTCTGCCTGCCTTAAGTCTCTCCCCACTCTAATCTATCCTCCATTTAGCCAAAGTGATTTTCCTAAAACTTTGATCCAAACATGTCACACACACCACACCCCCCATTCAATAAATTCCAGAGGCTTCCTATCGCCTCCAGGAACAAATACAAGATGCTTTGTTTGGCATTCAAAGCCCTTCATAACCTAGCCTCCTCCTGCCCTTCCAGTCTTCTCACACCTTGCTCCCCAATATGTACTCTCTGATCCAATGACATTGGCCTTTGGGCTATTCCATCTCTTGGCATTCTCTACCACTCAGAGAGCAACTCTGATGGGCTGGTAATGTGGTTCAAATGCCAAACATACGCTTCCCGAAAAGACTTTTATGAAGAACTCACAAAGGGCAAGCGTTCACATGGTGGTCAGAAGAAGCGATACAAGGACACTCTCAAGGTCTCTCAAGAACTTTGGAATTGATTGCGTGATATGGGAGACACTGGCACAGGACCAGCCAGCAAGGCATGCCCTCATCAGAGAAGATGCAGTGCTCTACAAGCAAAGCAGAATTGAAGTAGCTCAAAAGAAATGTAAGATGTACACATTTAGAAAATCGACCCCAAATATTCAAACGGACCATTTGTGCCTGACCTACAGTAGAACATTCTAAGCTCATATTGGTCTGATCAACCACAGTCAGACGCACTATAACTTAACTTTAGCACAGTGAAGTCATTTTGGTCCTCCTCGAGAACAAAGGACAACACCTAACCATCTCTTGGCTCAGGGGATTTTCTCTGGCTGGAATGCTCTCCCTGATTTCTGTTAAGTCCCCAACTAAAATCTCACTTTCTACAGGAAGTCTTCCCTAACCCCTCTTAATTCCAGAGCTTTCTCTTTTTTCATTATTTCCTATTTATCTTGCTTTGTATTTGCTTGCAGGTGGACTCCTCTGTTTCTTGAAGTCAGGGACTGTCTTTTGCCTTTTTGTATCCACAATGCTTAGTAGTGTCTGACACACCGCAGATGCTTAATAAATGATCACTGACTGTTTGAAATAGCAATGGGGGGGTGGGAGAGGGAAACTGAATGCTATATAATTATGACCGAGATTAGACCCAGAGAAGAGTTCGGAAAATGTACACCCCGCTCCACCCTCCTTTGCAGAAGTAGTGGACTGTGGGTGTGGAATATTACATATACCATCAGACACAATGTTTGCTTTGGTTGTGCTGAATTGCTTTTCCCTCCCTTTTAAAACTTTGTTATAGGGATGGCTCAAAAGGAAGAGGAAAGAGATCAGATACATGTGAAAATGAAGCTAATTCCAAAACAAGATACCATTAAAAGATAAAACCTGCTCCCCACCCTCTACCCCCATCAGTAAGGTGGTTTAAGAGAAAATTTTAGGCCCATCATTGTTCAAAGCGAAGTATGACGGAAAAGAGTACTGGATTGTGAGTGAAAAGACGTAAGATCCTGACTGGTGATGTGTCATTTAATATTTAGTGCATGGACTAGCAGAAGTCAATTAATGGTTCTGGTCCCAATTTCCTCATTTGCAAAACTGAGAGAGCTGGTCTAGATAGATGACCTCTAGGGTCCCTTCGATTCTAAAATTCCACAATCCTATGAACTCACATCACCTTGTCAAGTAATCAATTTTCAGGCCCTAACAGCAATATAGGCTCTATCATATCCCAAGCCTATTTGAAGAGTGGAACTTTGAATATTTGCTGGAAGCTGAGTTACTAAAAGGGCAAGAGATGTGACAATTTATTTTACTCACTTCTTCTTTCTATCCCAAGAAGAATTCTAATGCAATCTATTCCCAAGCTCTCAAAGTCCAAGGGCAACCCAAGAGGAAAGCATGGAAGCAGCTGAATAGAAAAGAGAGAAGAGGGAGCTGAAACAGAAAGTCAAGTATGAACTTTCAGCAAAGCTTTACACATCCCAACAAAAAAAAAAAGAGACCTGACCTGCTTCATTGATCTTGCTAGTTGATAGCAACAAACACTATAAAAAATGACTGCTCTGAAGATGTGGCTGAAAAAGTTAAGAGTTCTCAAAATCAACAGCCACCCTAGCTCTACTATATAATCCCCTTTTGGATTCTGGACCAGGCAACAACTCATCTGGAAAACTCTCAAACTGCACGTTCTTCTTTTCATCATTCAACAGAAGGGCCCTCGAGATGGCATACAGAGGTCAAAGGGCCTTTTTTGCTATCTATTGTGGTATCTCAACCATCTTTCACTGAAGACTTCTTCATTGCCTGTATCATCCAAAGATCCCAGATACATAATAAAATACTACTACTATTTTTATTTACCTACCTCACAGGATTAGTATAACTGCTTTAAACCACAAAAATACATAAAAATGAGTTAAAACTCCAAAAATATCAGTCATTTTATCAGCACCTCTACCAAGAGAGATAGCAATCCATTCATGACAAAGCAGGTACTTAAGTAGCTATCTCCCCCACTCTTCTGGGGCAAACAAAACAAAAACCAGGAAGCTCCAATTCAGGAATTTTAAATGGAAATAGCAGTAAAACAAAGAAAACATCACCAAGTGAGGCACAGAAATACATTTCAGAAAAAGTGGAAATGAGGAAATTAGAGAGCAGATTAAGGGAGGGATTAGTCCTGAGTAAAACATGGTAATTAAGGATATATAAAATATTTAAAGCTCTTTCTGAGGTGGCAAAGAATAGGAATCTGAGGGGGTCTCCATAAATTGGGAAATGCCTGAATAAGTCATGGTATATAAATGTGATGGAATACTATTGTGTGCTATAAGAAATAATGAAAAGTATGCTTTGTGAGAAACCTGGGAAGACTTGTATGAAACTATGCAGAGTGAAGTGAACAAAAGCAGATTTCTATGACAATAATAACATGACCTTGAAAGAATTAGGAATTCTGATCAGTATAATATCCAACTGGGATTCCAGAGAACTAATGATGAAACATGACACCTACCTCCTATTAGAGATAAAGGATACAGAATGAGACATATTTGAGGGTAAAAGAAAAAAAACCGGCCAACAGAATTTTTTTTTTTGCTTGGCTATACATATTTGCAACAAGTATTTTGTTTTTCTTTAGTTCTCAACTGAAGGGGAGGGGAAGGAAGGAGAGAAGGTAGATTTTTGCTTATATAAAAAAAACAATTTTTAAAAATAATAAAGAGACCTTGGAATACAATATTTTAAAGGAAAAGAATATAGGGTTACAACCAAAACCAACTTCCCAGTAAAGCTGAGTATCATCCTACTCGGTAACATTCTTTAAAAAAAAAAAAAGAAAAAAAAAGAATCTTAAGACTTTTAAGCAATTCTGATGAAAAGACCAGAGCCGAATAGAAACCATGAAACCAAATACAGGAATCCAGAGAAACCTAGAACAGGAAATTTATTAGACCAAATGGAAGGAGAAAAAGATGATGAAGGGCTAACATTCTAATAGGAGAAGAAATGAATGTCCTTCAGAACCAGGAGAAAAATTTATACAATAACAATACGGTAAAGAAAAACTGAAAGACTTAAAAACTCTGTTTAGTCCATAAGCATTTATTAAGCTCTTACTATGTGCCAGACACTGAAGTAAGCTCTAGGGATACAAAGAAAGGCAAATGACAATTTCTGTTTCCAAGGAGCTCTAAGGGGAGCGAGAACATGAAAGGAACTGCATACAAGCACTGACCAAGCATATTTCCAAAGAACCTGTGTTGAAGCATATTCCTCACAGAGAGAAAGGTGATGGAAGCATGGTACAGGAGACATGCAATTTTGGACACGGTCATACTGTGTGGATTTGTTTTCCTTAAGAACGTTTCCTTATTAGAGGGAAGAGTTTGTTATAAAACATTTTGGTTTTTTTTCCTGTTTTTAACCGCTGGGGGTGGTCTCCCATTAAACTGTGAGGTCCTTGAAAGCATGGATCATTTTTTGCCGCTCTTTGTCCTCAGGCTTTAGTACAGTGCCTGGCACACAGCTGATGTTTAATAAATGCTTGTTGACTAACTGGTACCCCCAATCAAAAAAACAATCATTGAAGCCTTTTTTAAAAACATCAGCAGTCGTCAAAAGTAACAGACTGAATTTATTATCTTCTTTTTTTAAGTAAGCAGTATGGAATAGAACAATTCATGGGTTCTTATATAATCCTCTTTTTGTATACATGGAAATGCTCTATCTGGCGTTTTAATTCAAGATAAAAATATTAAAGAGAATTATAGAAGTTACCTGTTGAACTTGGAATCAACTGGTTTTGGTGCAAAAGTATAGACATATGGGTAGTATGGTGTGTAGAAATACTGCTTCCACAGAGGGAGACAATTTTCAAAACAGCCTCAAGCTTGGAAAGGGATCTTTGACTTTGCTTTGTCTGAGAAGATACATGGATGCTAACGAATGTTTAAACTCTATTTCATCCCCTCCCAAATTCCTTAATTCCACCTATCCTCTACCCAACCTCTGATGGCTTCTGGCCAGGCCTAGTCCTATTAACTCTCCCTGCAAACAGTGATATGGTCAACTATCCCCCTCCCCCTCCAACTCTTCCTCATTCCAGTCTGATCAATTCTTAATCTCTTT